AAATGATGGCCCTAAGATGCTATAAGATCATATATTTGAGCATGTCCATAAAAAGCATTAGCCTTTCCATTAAATTAACCTACTTGCCATATTATTTGAAATATTTTAGATTTGTTTATTTTAGAGAGAGAGAGAGCATGAGCAGGAGGGGCAGAGGCAGAGGGAGAGAGAGAAATTCCACCCATCTCCCCTCTGAGCAAGGAACTGAAAAGGGGCTTGAGCTCATGACCCTGAGATCACAACACAAGCCAAAACCAAGAGTCGGTCACCCAAAGGACTGTGCCACCCAGGCACCCCTGCCACATACTAAATTGAAAACAAAAATCAAAAATAAAAAGGGTTCCTTCTCACTCCATTCCCACACATATTTCCAGGCAAGGGAAGTTTTTCTCTATTTCTCTCAAGGATGTCCTAATCCACATTCTGACTCATACCTCTTCTACAGACTATTCTTATCATTCTTCTATATATTATTTACCAAAGAATCCCTGGTTGCATTAATATCAGGGTGCTTAATAGAGTTTAAATGAAAATTGAACATTTTAAATTATTTAAATCTTCAATTGAGCTAATTAGTCCTCATTAGAGGCTGCTCATTCTTCCATACTAAAACAGTGGGTGAAATGCTTCAAGTCACTTCGGAAACTGCTTAATATTCAGTCCCCAGAGTATGTCCATGAAAAGTTCTCTCCTGCATTTTCAATACCTTCCCTTTGCAAACATAGTGAGAGGAGAGATAAAAGTGGACAAGGCTGGAAATGGAGACCCTCTACACTATCCTTCACAGCAAACTGGCTTTCCATGTGTTAACATCCAACCCTGTTCCCATCATCATAGTCAGGAGGGGCATACAAAGGTTACAACAATTAACATATTTCATCTCCCTAACTTTTGAGCCAAAAATATGTGAGCCAAGTTATAAAAAGTAAGCCTCTATTTGGATTACAGGGCCCCATTCCAAAACCAAAGAATTATCCTTTCTGGAGAGCTGCGTGTTATTTGTAGCTTAATCAAATACAGATAAATCTTTGAAAGGCTCCCTTTTTATGGGGCTATTTTTGTCCCATGGGTGTGTTAGCCTATACTCTGATTTTAATCCTGATCTGTGAAATCACAACTCAAGGATAAATGTATGGCTTTCTTATCAACCATATTTTACTAAAACTGCTCAGGCCCTTATATTAAGGTGATAAATTCTGTATTAAAATCACACAGAAAATTCAGACTTTCATTTCTAATAAATCACCTCACCTCATGGTGCCACTCTGTTAAATTTTCTCCACCGGCTTCTCAGAAGGTTGCCATTACAATGATAGTGAGCGCTATCATTCCTCTTAGAACTAACTAAACACCTGTGCAAAACACAGCTGCATCCAGAGGACTGACAGCCTAATGTTTAGAGTCTACTTCCTGATTCAAAAATAATAGTTGCATTTCCAAGGTGATAATTTAGCCAGAGAGGTGGCATTTCATTTATACGTTCAGTGAGTAAGTACACAGTTATAAGGCTGTACAAGGCCTGTGTGATAATGTATGTAAACACACTCCTTTCCCTGGAGAGGTGTACAGTATGATTTGATGGTCAAGACTTTTCTCCCCACAGGACATCCTCCACAGAGAGAACACAGGTTACTATACATGCTTCCAGGGGCTTTGTAGAATCTCTCATCCTACACTTCCCAAAGAAGCAGCGCTGACAAGATGAATTCCCAGGCCTCTGTCCCTCTTTCTTTTCTTCTCTCTCTCCACTGTTTGTCCACCTCTTTCTCTATTTATTTCCTCTTCCTTCCCTTGCTTCTCTCTTCCTAGCCCTGCCTGTGAAATATGGACCTTGACATCTCCTCTGTCTTCCCCCAAATCACATCATTCTCGCAGTTTTATCAACCCTTTGGGGAAAACTCCCCAAATTTAAGAACATCAAGTCTACGCAATGGCCCTTAAATTCCTTAAATTCAACATGATCAAAATGGAATGCCAGATGTCCCCATTAATCCCAATTCTTCCACACTACTTCTTGCTCAGTGAATGGCCCCGGCAGGCTCCCTGGGACCACGGTAGTCTTAAGGACTTCTTTGCCGCCTCTTTTGCCTCAGCAACCCCCAACTCACCCACCTAATCTGTTGCCAGTCACATGGATTCAGACCTCTTCTTTCTACCACCACTGCCACCAATCCTACTCTAGGCCTTTATTTCTTCCCCTTGAACATTCTAGAATTTTTCTAAGTGGGCTTCTACTTCCACTAACCCATCTTAGATGATACTATAATATTAACTTTTTGAGAGAAGATATACATATCTCAGAACCAGAGGGTCTGGTTTCCAATTCCAGCTCTGCTACGTCTTCATTCTGTGACCTTGGGCAAGTTACCTAACCTCTCTGTACCCTAACTCTCATCATCTCTGCACACTAAGGATGATAATAGCACCGGCCTCATGGAATTGTTGAGAAAATAAAATGAATTCATGATTAATAGTTGTGGGACACCTAGAACAGCACCTAGCATACATTTAAACACTCAGTAAATGTTTGCCATTATTTGCCATTAGCCCCAATCCGGTCATACCATGGACTTCCCCAAAACCATGCAGGAGTCCAAAGGCTTCCAATGAAACAGCAGATCCCCACCCCACCATTCAGTCTACACCCTGCTGACCTTTCAACTTCATATTGCACACCCCCATGGGACCTGAATACATACCAGGTAAACTGGGGGACTTACTAGTCCCTAAACCCACTCTGGAGCCTCCTTTCTCATCCTTGCTATTCTTGTTTCTGGGATCTCTCCTGATAAAACTCTGTCCATCCTTCAAGCCAACTGTAAGTCCTCCAGGAAGCTCTTTTCTAAACACTTCAACCAAATGTGCTCCCACCTGCCTGGGAACTCCTCTTAGCACAGGGCCTATGTTAACCTGAAGACAGTTCTTTGTCTGTACTGCTCACTGCACTACTGTCATTCTCCCTATAGGCTTGTGGCTCCTCAAAGGTCCTATGTGCATTCATCATTGCCATACTCTCCAGCACCTAGCCATGAGTAATATGTTGGGGGGGGGGGTCACAAAAAAAGATGGAATCACAGCTAATCAGAACCATGGCCACCGCTGTGGCAAGGCAGCTGGGCAAGTCCAAACCAAGAGAAATGTATGCTCTGCCCATACTGGAGTCCTCGTCATAGTTTCAGATGACATCGAAACTTATAATAGAAATGGGATGGTCTCTCCAGCGAGTCTTTATAAGACACCAGAAATACTGTAGAATAAATGTAAGAGGAATGGGATTTGTCACCCTATCCTAAAATACCAATATTAAAATACACAAAAACAGTTCCTCACATATGCTCAATACTACAATCAAAAAACCATCCAGCAACTGTGTTTAGTGGTTAAAGGCCATTTCCCGCTAGATCTACCATTTAGCCATCCCTAAAGAAGTAACTCAGACCTCAACGACGGAAGCTTGTTCTGTGATATATTAACAGCCTCCGGCATGTCAGTCACTGCAGAATGGAACACCATGACACATACACAGTCCCTACCCTCAGACGCAAAAGAGGTCCCCAAACCCTAACCTCACGAAAACAAAGCCACAACAATGCACATTGCCAACAACAGAGTGCACACTCAATAAACAGCAGTGACATCATCCAGGTACCCCTGGTCAGGGAGCAGGCCCGGCAGTCCTCCATTCTGTCTAGGGGCAGAGCTGTAATCTGACACCACGGATTTAGACCTCATTGCCGCAGCAACTCTGGGCATTCATAAGCAGTAGCAAAGGGCTCTTTCATTCCCACTTCAGCCTTCAGCCATTCAAGAAGCATCCTGCCTCCAGCACCACTAGGAGAAATTCCCCAAGACACCAGTTTCAAGAATCCCTATGGTGAAGTGACAGTTAAAGATGGTTTGCTCTCAAATAAAAGATAATGCTCCTAAAAGTGGAGAATACTTTCACTCCTCAAATGCCTGGGTGGTACCTACAAATCCTTAGGCAGATCGGCCAAAATCCCTTTTAAGGTGACAAGTCCCAGGAAGCTTACTATGGTTCATTAAACTCTGTTCATGTAACTGCATGTTTGGTTAAACAACAAAAGTCAAATTAAAATGTTTAAGTTAAAATATATTGGACTACTCTGCAACACCAGCTCTTTTAAGGAGAACACACTCAAGTCAGTTCAGCCTTCCTTTTCTTTATTATCTGTTGCTTTTATTGAGTGGAGGTTTATCTCTCTTTAATTAAATTTTTATTGCCCTTAAAAGTACTAAGGTAATCCTTTCCCTGTAAATTAATTGCCTTTCACAGAAAACAGTTCCCTATTCTTATTTTACACTCTCAAATCCTAATCCCACAGAGGCAAAGTAACCAAAGAAAGTAAATCAGCACTCCTATACCACTTCCTCAAAGACAAAGAAAGCTTGAAGGGCTGAAGCTTGGGGGAAGCCAAAGAAAATCACCCAATAATTTCTCACACAGGTAAAGCCTTACTCATAGATAAGACCTGGGTACAGCTACCTCCAGCCAAACGTGTCCCACTTTCCAAAAACGAGCTGCAGAAACAAAAACATCCTGCGAGACAACAGAAGCCTTGTGAACTGAAAAGCTGAAGTGCTCCTAATACACACACTTCCCTGTACTCTGTGGGTGCCCCATAAATACTCCCCGGCTGATTCACAGGCCAATTACAGCGGCTAGCAAGGACAGAGAGTCTCCCTGGTCCTACTCTGGGGAGTGTTAGGTAACAGAAGGTTCCAATTTGTGGTGGTGGCAAGAAGAGCTAATACAGACAAAGGTTTAAAAGGAGTGGGCTGTTGACAGGTTCATATTATGTTAACTTTGCCTGCACCTCTCCCCAAGCACCTGATTCTTTAAAAAATAGTATTGTTACTTACACCACTTGTTGGGGGGGGGGGGTAAGTGAATAAAACTGCCATAAAGGTGCATAGGGTTCCCTCACCAAAGAGCCAACAGGCTAAAAGGTTGAGAAAAAAAAAAAAAAATAGAAACTTACTTTTCATAGACCAGCTCCTCATCGATGGAGAAATAGTGGGTATTTACAGTGCTTTTTGGTCTATTCCTTAAAGTAGCAAAATATAACCGATCTGAAAGACAAGTTTAAAAGACGGGAGAAAATATATGAGAAGTAGGGCAGCTGAACGTGGAGAGTGGTGATAATAAACGAAAGATCAAAATAATAACTGCTACCCATTATTTAAAGACCCCAGTAACACGTGGAATTCTTGCAGAAACCTGATCTCTCCCAGAAACCCAGAGACCCAAGAGCACAACAGAGAGGTGAGAAGGGGACCCAACTGAGACACTCAGCTAGGGGCTGGGGGTGGGGGCAGAGTTCCCACATCTCCCCTGTTTAAGGCCAGCAGGAGAGGACAGAAGCTGGGGGTACCCGTAGAACTGGAGATGCAAGTTTGGCTCAGAAATCTCCAGACCCCAGCAGCTGCGGAAGGGGAAGAGAGGCGAGCCTGCAGCTCCGAAGACTTCAAGAAGAGGAAGGGAGGAAGAGACAGGGAGGTGTGACTGGGGGGTGTCCCGAAAACCGAGGCGATCAAGAGCGGGATAAAGGAGACGGAAAAAATCAACCGGAGCAGGATCCCCACCAGCTGCTGTGTGCAGAAGCCGGACCGAACCCGGCGCTGTCCCATTACCGGGAGGGAAGGCCATCCGAGGGAGCTGCAGAGGGAACCGGGGACGCAAGAAAGACAGAGAAGCCGGAAGCAGGGGGTCCTCGGGGAGAAGGTAGTACGGAGAGGGGACGAGAGCGCGCGCAGCGGCTGCAGGACACCAGGGGCCCGGGGAAAGCCGGAGACAGCGGTTGGGACGTAGGGGTAGAAGTGAAGAGTTGGGGGCGAGGGAGGGTTGGAGGATGCGGGGCGGCTGCTGCTCACCTTTCATGAACTCGCAAGCCCCGATTAGTTCCCCTGACTCCGCTGCCATCTTAAGCGAGATACGCACGGGGGAGGACTAGGTCGTGGCCAGCTGAGGTCACCCGCCCCCGGGGGCTTCCCCACTGCCCAGGAGCCGGGAAGCTTGCAGTCCCGAACACCGAGCCCGCCCGAGAGAGGCAGCAGGCGCCGAAGGCGGAGGCGGCTGGGGGGTCAGCGCGCGGGGCGCCCCGGGGACATTCCGTGGGGAACCCGAGCCCGCTCCGCGCGGGGCGCACACGCCCCAGGCTGTGGCCGCTCCGATTCGGACCCGGCTGCTGCCGCTGCTCCGCTGCCGCCGCGCCAGTGAAACGCAGACCAGCTCTCACGGCCGGGCAAAGTCTTCCCCCCGCTCCCAAAGTGATCATGGAGGAGGAGACGTCTGGCCCCGATCGCGCCCGTGGCTACTCGTGCGACAGCGGGCAGGACTCTAGTGCCCGCCGGCTGGCAGCAGCTGCTCCGGCTCCTCCTTCGCCACCTCCTTTCAGCAGCAACTCTTCCTCCTCCTCCCCCCTAGGTCCGCCCTCAGACCGTCTTCCCCGCCCTCCCTCAGCCCCCTCCACTTTCACGGCTCTGCGGCCATCCCTTAAAGGGACAGCTCCGCTCCTTTCTCCGTGCGGGCCCCGCGCCCCAGTTACCAGGCGCCCCGCGGGTCACTAGGAGCCAGTTGCTAAGGCTTTGTTGCCGTCCTCCAATTGCTGTACAGGAAACGGGGCTCTGGGCCCAGGGGAGCCGGGCGGGGCCTCCAGACCAGAAACTTATGAATGAAACGGTGGAGTAGGGAGTGGATGTCGGGAAGGGCGCTCTTTCGGTTTCACTGGCAAGGATGCGCCGGCGCCCCCTTTTCTGCACCCACTAAGTCTTCTTAGATTTTTCTTCTCTGTCTCTCTCTCGCCCCCTCACCCACGTTCTCCTAAACTCTTGGGCGCGCGCGCGCGCATACACACACACACACACACACACACACACACACACACACTTAAAGACCTCAGATCTGCGGCCCTGCCTCCTATTAGCAAATCTTTCAAGCACTCCGCATTCCCTCCACCACTGACGGATCTTCATCTGTATTTAAAAAATGATAAAGTTTAAAAAAGAAGCGCTACCTCCTCGCTCAAAAGAACATGTACCGATTTCCTCTACACACACTGGACTTTTATATAATTTGTGCTTTGTTCTCATGGGGGAAAACGTTCCCATCCGATCCCCCACGTCCTCTCAGTGGGGCCACCACTGCGGGCGCAAAATGCCTAACATCTACACTGCTTCGGCTCAGGAGGGGGGCAAGGGAGCGAGACCGGCGGAACAGGCGACACAGGAGAGGGCCACTTGAACACGGGGGAAATAAACACAAAAGAATCTCTTTACGTAGTCTTAGCTGAAGCGCTGCAGGGAGTGGGTCGTCTCAAAAAGCCCTTGTCTTGTTTCTGTGAAGCTCCTCACACTGAACAACTTTAATACCGGGTGCCCTGCGGACGCGCCTAATTAGAGGACAGTCCCTTCGATATGAAAATGGCGCTCCGGCTCCATCATCAGAAGAGCATGCGCTCTGAGTGGTTTCTCCAGAACCAGAGAGGGATTTGCGCCCGCCTTTGGGAGAAAGGGGGCGCACCAGTGAAGAGCCGCCCCGCCAGCTTGGAAGGAGCGCTTTGAGGCGAGCGTGGAGAACTCAATTCCTTGGTCTTAGCCCGTTAGTCAGCTTTGTTGACTCTTCCAAAAAGCGAAACAGTAACAGAAAATAAATAGAAGGTGCTTGTGAAAGCCTGATTGGTTTGATTTTTTTTTAATTGCTCGAATAAGAAAAATATATGTATGTATTTCGTAGATATTCAGAAAAAATAGAACATCTCAATTCTAATCAAACATGTCCTTGTAAGAGAGTAAAAAGAAAAACCTAACATCCAATTCTTTAGACCACAAAAATGTAAAGCTGGAAGAATCATTAAAGAGCATCTCTGATACCCTATACCCCAACAGCACCGTCTATAATCTTAACGTGAAAAAAAAAAAAAAAAAAAAACTCAAGAGTTTTTGAAACTATAAAAGTCCTGAAAGATGAATTGTAGTGAGTGTTCTGTGTTGAGATGCATTCCATGTCTTACAGGCCACTGGCAATAGCTATGGAGTTCTAAAAGAGGAAAACATCTCTCAAATATGTTGTCCACGCTCACATGATTACTTGAATTTTGCCTGATATTACCCCAGTCTTACAATCTGGTGTTAACAACCATGTTGGCCAAATCAAATTATTGTATTGAAAATTTCTAACAGTTTTTTTTATGTGAAAGATGGCAAAGGAAAGCAAATGAATGTCTCAGTAAACTTAACTCCTTTGTTCAGAAGTCTGAATTCAGCGGTGGTAATCTGTTTCCAAATTTGCTTATTTAACATTTGTGTAGAATCTAAATTCACTTGCAAATTTCCGAAAAACCTCTCATCCCAGTACTGTATTAGAAAAATTGAGTGAAAAAAAGAAGTTCAATTCTCATACAACACATAAACTTCTAATTTCATGATATAGTCTAGTGAAATGAACTCTAAATCTGCATTTTCAGAGAAAGCAACTTTAACTGAACTTCCTCTTGTTATTTTCTAAAATGAATTTACAAAAACCTTTCATATAATTCTCTGGCTCAGAAATCTTGGTCATGAAAAGTGAATTACGACCAGAACAAATAGAAGTTCTTAAAATTAAGAACTCAAAATGAATAACTTTCTTTTTCCTTAGCATATTTACAATATGGATATTATAATGAAATTCTTGAGGACTTTCTAATATTTTAATGTTGCACAAAAGACAAATAAGTGATTATCAGTATAATCAAATCTCTCTAAACCAAAATCTGCGCAATGTAAAAGATATGGAATATTCTACAAGAAAAACTGTAAACAAGTTAGTGCACGCACAGCACACATCCACGTCAAGGTTCTAATGACATCATAAAACACTTTATTCCCTCAATTATCATGAGGTCAGTGTTCCTATGGGCTGCAGTTTCATAATAAAGGCATGATTTCAGTCAATGGAGGAAGATAATGGAAGAAATTTTTTCAAATCATCCAACTTAATAAAAGTGTTAGGAAATGACTAATTTTAAACAACAATAAAGAAAGTCATTTCACACATAAAGAAAATACTGAGAGAATTAAGATGTCACTCAAAGAAGAAAAGGAAGGTAATGTTATACAGAGAAATCTAGCAGTTCAGTACAAAAGTGTCTCAACAACAGTAACTCTACAAACATCACTTGAATCCTGTCTCTCACGCACTGAGAGGCAGCGTACGGACCAGTGTGTGTACCTGCAGAACTAGAAAACTCACTCTAGGAGGTAGCTCCAAAATACGTCACCAAAATATATCTGGTTCTAATTCTGCCCCTTGGGGCCATACTGATCACCCTTAGTCATTCTTGCACATAAAAACCTCTTCAAAAATGCAAAGGCAGCTTCTCTGGGCCACGGCTTCCTCTTACTCTTCCCTAGATTAAAATCCTCATTTTTTTCCAACCTTTTCTTAAATTGCATGGCTTCAAGTCCAGTTACTTTCTTCTCCAATTTGTCTACATCCCTTATAAATTGTGTCCCAGAACTGAATGCAGGCCAGTGATGATCTAGTGTGACTAGTTCTAAGATCAGAAAAAAGCACTGATAAAAGATTCAGATGAGAACAAATGTGATGAAAAATGTAAAAGAACCAAATTTTATCATTTAGCTGCAAAAAGAAGGATACTCTTCTCTCTTGTTGGAGAACAACAAGGAAAAAGTTGCTTAGGCTAATCAAAGACTGATAACTGACATTTATTATACTATTCAAAGCATCATTCTTATTAGAATATATAATGGGAATGTGCTCTTTTAGTTGCTTTTTCAGTCATAAGCAAGTAAAAAAATATTTAGAATATGTACTTTGAATTCTTTCTAAAAATTAATTTTCAGTTTAACTGTAAAACAAGGAAACCTATCTTTCTGAGTAATTTAAAATTCAAAGTAATTTGAATTGTTTAAATATTTTGATTCCTTGCCAGGTGCCAAAAATAATTTAAAGCAATTTTTAGCTTTATACATATATATAGTTACAATCACAAACTATTATTAGAGAACAATCAGAATACCAAAAATATGTAGATAAAGTGACCATGAAATAGTTGCCCACAGATGCTAAAATCTTGGACTGACCCAGCCATATTCTGCATCACATTGATCACCAATGCATGTTTAAGAACTCCAAACCAGAATCAAAGATGGTAAGAACCTGGAAGGACCTGGCAGATCAGCTAGTTCCAGTTTTCAAACAGACACCCTGGTAGAGCCTAAGGTAGCAGAGGCCCTACCTGGGGATGGGAGTGGAGAGTGCTGGGTAGGCATGCAGAGCTACTACAAAATATTCCACTCGTAAAAAATGATGGGGCAGATAGAGGAAAGAAAAGAGAAGAAGAAACTGAGGTCCATGGTGGGTAATTAATTTTCTGAAGTCACATAGCTGACTCGTGGTAGAAATAAGACCAGTATTCATTATTTGCGCTAATACCAATAATCTTTTCTCAGTTTTCTCCTAACTTAGCTCATCTTACATTGTTTAGCTCATGGGTTCTTAAACTTTTGAGAGGATAAAATGTCAAGCAATAATAATGTATATGCCAAATATCTTTTCTTCAAGATTGTAGAGAAAATATTGAAATAATTTAAGCTCAGAATGGAAAAATAAGAGATGTTGCATTATCTCTTGTTGTCATATGGCTTCTCTAAAAATCTGAATTATCTATTTTTAATAGCATAACCAGTATTCTATAGAACATAGTTTGAGAAATTTAGTGAACATTAACTATAAAAATTCAATTCAATAATCATCTTATCCTTGACTGATGCAGCCAGTAAAGAATGACATAGTTTTAGAAGGTGAAAGAAAGTTCCATGGCTAGGTTGAGAAACTTAACAGTGCTCAATTTACTGCCCAGTTTACCACATTTTTCAAATAGACTAACACTCAATATAGTTTTAAAAACTTACAGAATGTGGGGTGCCTAAATGGCACAGTTGATTATGTATCTGACTCTTGGTTTGGGCTAAGGTCCTGACCTCAGGATCATAAGATCAAACCCCACATCAGGCTTTATGCTCAGCACAGAGTCTACTTGGACTTGGAGTTTCTTTCTCGCTCTCCCTCTCCCGTTTCCCCATCACACTCTCTCATAAATAAATAAATAAAACTTTTTTAACAAAACTTACAGAATTTATCCATCTACACTTGTCATTTCTACTCTTTTTTTGGAGAGGAAATAAAAAAGTGAACTTTTTTTCTCCAAAAATATATAAAATAATATTCTGTGTGCCACTCCTCACTCCTCATCACCATCAATTTAGTGACATATTGTGGTCTCAAGTTTCCAATGTTCCTTCACATGCCCATTTAATTTATGTCCCTATTATATTCTGTATATGTTTCTATTAGAAAAATAATAATAGTTAAGTTTTATTGAAAACCAGGCACGCAATTTATACCTCAGCTCTCACATCAGTTCCCTATGAGGTAAGCACTATTATTATTCCCATTTTACAGATGAGGAAACTGCCACAAAATGGATG